ATTGTGAAAGAATTAGCTGGTGATAATTTGATAGTGGCATTTATTTTTGAATCGAACGGATTGTGGAAAATGAGGGGACATTGGCAGGTTTTTGTAGTATTTCGCCAATTCTAATTCTGTGCAATTCTTGCATTTAAATTTGGCCATTGAGATTGAAGCTATTTAAGATTTAAATACAGTCAGTCAAGTTCTAGATATTCCAATTTTGAAATTTAAATTTGGCCATTGCGATTGAAGCTATTTAAGATTTAAATGCAGTCAATCAAATTCTATTTAGGTACTTAAATTTAAATTTAGCTAATGAAATTCAAACTACTCAAGTTTAAATGTTCAAGCTCTAATATCTGCACCTTGTACACAACAATAACTAGAAGAATAATAGAAATGTTGTAGAAAGTAGTGAAGAATAAAGAATTATCAGACGAAACGTGACCCCGAACATTCAGATATCACATCTCGTCGCCTAATCTTCTATTCGCCAAATAGCATGTGCCCTCTAAAACCACCGTCAATTACTCAATTATCGTCAAAAATCTCAGTTTAAATAACCACCGAATAACAAACAATTCCAAAAAAAAAAAAAAACTACCAATTTTCATCGTCATTTCCTGAAGAAAACGCAACCCTCTGGCGACAAACACTTCCTCCAAAAACCCCCTAAAAGAAATATCGTCCTAGGAAGAACTCCCCCGAAAATTAAACGTCCCTGAACACCCCGCGTTATTTCCTCTTCGCGCAGCACAAGTCGGAAAATAGCGACGGTGGTCGGAATAGTGGTAGATCGCGCGGCCAGAAAAATTCGCGTGCGCTGTTTCCCGCGCGGCTGGCACGCTGACAGATAACGCGACAGATAAGAGGGAACGGGTGAATGCGCGCTCGCTCGCTCATACTCGTACATTCCGCGCGTATTTTTGTCTTATTCAGTTCATCGAAAACAACCAGGAGAAAAATCGAATAAAACTGGTTTACTCCGGCTTACACCGGATGCGACAAGCTTAGTTGCAACTAACGCGCACTGCTTTTTATTGTTACAACGACCGTTACACGCAACGAGACTATCTGGAAAAATTAGTTTTACATCGGTTGAACGTGAAAAAAAAAAAAAAACGGTGAAAATATCGTGCGATTTTCCGTTTCCGATCGATCCCATCCGCACTGCGAATCGCGCTTGTTACCGTTCGCCATGTTTACGGCCGGAGAAGAACAGAAACGCGTGGAAACAGGGAAATCTGGTGAAATAAACGGAATTTTCCTGGACAATTATGAATCGTGAATGGAATAAGAAAATTGTCAGCAATTTAGTAAGTTGAAGAGATTATTTATTGCATAGAACTATAGCGAAAATCACGGAACTACCGTCGGAAGGTGTAAACGCGTCGCCGCCATATTGGCGATTAGAAGAAATATTAGACACGGTGGACAGAGAATGCGCAGTAAACTTTTCAATCGATATTTTTTCTTCCTTTTTTTATGCCTCTCGCGGCGAATAATGTCTCTGTAACGTGTCAATTAAGGCACTCAGGTGCAATTTATCGTTCCGATTGCATCGTCGATCTCGACACGCACGATCACACGCTCGCCACACTTGCAAATCGCTCTTTTTTCTAAAAATGTGTGTGTGTGTCTGTGCTTTCGAAATTGATCCGTAGATCTGGTGACTGAAGGACGAATGAAGTATAGGAAATAGTGTCTAAAAGATTTAGCAGCGCGTAATACGAGTAACTTTAAAAATAATGATTTCCTTCAGTTGAAACAGAGCAATCTTCTAATTAATTCCAGCGACGTGATAGTGAAGAAAATGGAACGAAAATATCGTTACACGTGAAACTTGTACCCGCGGTTTTTTATTCGCTTCTTTGCATTAGATAGGCGCTACATTTCGCAAATTTGATAAACACAGCGAGAAATCGCGTTTGCGTAAGTAATATATCTTAATAGGAAGTGATAACTAAGGAGACACTCGAATATTCGATTTATCGGTCTCGTATCGAAACAGATTCGCATCTCATTAGAAGCTCGTTAAAAAGCTGCGATAAGCGTTTCTCTCCTAATCGAAACTCGTGTAGATTTATCGCTCTCTGATCGTTCCTAAAGATTCACCTCGTTATCTCTTGTTAACGGTGTCAATTACTGCACTCGTAAGTACACTTCGATGATAAAAAAAGAAGCAAATAAGAAGAAGAAAAAAGAGAACGTAGAGATTGGTGTGTAATTGTGCGTAAATATTTGTGCGCTACTCCAGATTGTCGAATTAAGTAACGCACGGCGATCTGGTTGCAAATAGAATAAAAAGTATAAAAGGAGAACGAGAGAGACTGATAATTTCGTTAATGGGAGATGAGAGAAGAAACTAACACAGACGATAATGGAGGTTTATCGTAGACATTGAAGAAATTCATTAAGACACTCTGTTTGCGTAACCTGATAAGCCGCATTTGTTCAAGATTTTACACGAGCCTGTCGACCTTTCCGGCGAATCTTCCTCGAAGATCGTTTATCACGAGGAAAATATGAAATTCTTCGAAACAAGTAGGTCTATCTGAACGAAAAACTTCACAATTCCACGAAAAATTTGGGAAAACTTTGTAGAAGTACGAAGTGTCGACCTTAAATTGCGAAATCCGCCGTAATTGTGTTATCAGCGAAGAACGAACGAGACGCGTTATTCGCGAAGAATTGTTTCTGCATAAGTGTCTTTCGACTGACACACAAATCTTATCTGCGAGCCGTTTAATAAAACACGTAAACGAGGGAAATACGGGGCCGTGCAATTATTTGCCTTCGGGGAATCCAGCGAGCTGCGAAGAAGAGGAGAAAATACAATTATCTGCACATCCGAATAATCTTCTCTTTGCGTCTCTGCTAATTCTTTCTCGTAACTTCCACCTAAATCTCTTCGTTTGGAGAGAACGCGTTACGAGTGGATAAAAGAAAAAACAATCGTGGACGATTACGAGAAAATTAAGATCTATTCGACAATGGAGGACACGTAAATGATTCAATGTAGTCGAAGTTAAATTTTATTGATAAAAATAACCTATGATTTAACCGATTATTATGAAAATCTGAATTTCTGCAGTAAACTCCTTCGGTGCGTTCTTATTTGCTGCCTCTGCTGCACTGTGTCCCAGTTCGAATTCTTGAAAGAATCGGAATTTCATTAGAATCCATTTTCAACTTCGAACATAACCTTAACCCAGATTTTTCAGAGAAGCAAGTATTGCATTTAAAACAGTAAAACGTAGGTTTTACTTTTTCGTATGACAATCCGTATGATTCTAATTTATAGAAACAAAACTGAATCTGCCAGCATTCGAACGCCGCCATTTCGTATACAACGACCTAATAATTTTCGAAAAGGCCGCATGATTCAGCATAATAATAAATTCGGATTTTTCACTGACGCAAAATGTCATATTTATATTGTATTGACGAATCTAACGAGCTACAGCAAGAAACTAATGAATCAGCCAACGTAAATAGGTCAATGAAACCTAATGGCAATGTAAACGAGACCTAAGGCTAACATGACGACAGCCTTTATTTCAACGGACGGTGCGAAAAATCGCAGCCTATATACTGACAATTTTCAAATGAATAAATTAGGATTTTCACTGACGTAAGATGTCACATTTAAATCGTGTTAACGAATCTAACGAGCTGTAGCAAGAAACTAATGAAACAGTCAACGAAACGTAACGACAATGTAAACGAGGCCTAAACTTAATATGGCGGCAGCCCTTAACCAATTTCCATTGGATTTCAGCGGACGGTTGACGAACCCTGGCTGAGCTGACGTCCTCGACGCCGTGGCCGCGATGATCGACAATGGAACCGAGTGGAAAAATCAGCACGCCTGGAAAATGCGAACCACGGCTGCGGAACACCAAGTTCGACGTACAACCTCGCGGAAACGTGACTAACTTTGCATCACCGGGGACAAAGTCTGAAATAAAGGACGAAATAAAGCCTTAAACAGATCTCGACGAGCGGAGAAGCTTGCGACGAGAGTTCGTTTCGTGTATCTGACGTCGAATGAATATGCAAATTTTCACTTTTCGAGTAAAGAAATCTGGCTGGATGTGACTAAAGAAAGAGGGAAATTTAAATATGAAGTGAAGATTGATATCGGTGAGAATTTTTCATAAATTTTAATCTCTAGAATTATCTGACATTACATAAGAGCACGTATCTCAATTTTGACGAAAATTAGACATGTCACATTTTACCTGATCTGTGATCACAGATCTTAATTCCCGCGTATCGAACGATCTGATTTCGTATGGAAAACAAATATGAAATAAATAATATCTGAAAACCATGAAAATTCGTAAATGTTCTCCGTCAATCTTCGCGCCGTCTAGTTTGACGCAACAAAGACGCGTTTGTAATTACTAATTTAACGTATCAGGCTCGTCGAGTCCATAAAACCATCAATTCTAAACCGTGTTTCCCGTAGGAAAACATCGACCGCGGTGAGGATGCACGGCGGTCCTTTTTGTCCGTCGAGTTATCGAAAGTGCGGTTTATTGGCGTCGCATGGTCGATTAAACGCGAACGGTGGTCGTGGTTGTGTTTTTGTAAAAGAGAAAATCGTCGTACAGATAAAAACGACAAGCTCCGTCTGCCAGACCTGATAAATATGTACGCGTGCTACGTTGATCCGTTCCAATCACAAAGGGTATAAAGGCCGCATTATTTTTAGACGATTTATGACTGAAAATTTCACAGCACCATTGTGTTTCCGTGAGACTTCCGTGAAACTCATTGGTAAACATCGAAAAAATGGCGTTGAAAAAGAACAAAGTAGAAAGGGAACAAAAAATAACAGAACGAAACATGATATCCCAAACGCAACGCAACGCGCGGGCGCGATCGTTCAACGGTCATATTCGTCAACAACGCGCGCTCGGGTGGGTAACGAAGGAACGAGATGAGAACGAGAGAAGGGTAAAAGCTCGTGTGCAAGTGTGAAACACGCGTCCGTATGAATTACTTACATTCTGGACCCCATCCTGGACCCCATGATGCCGCTACGTAGAAATTCGTCTAATGCACTGGAGACCCGCGATGAGAAGAGAGGCCGGTCGTTAAAGTAGAAAAATGATTCCCCTCCGACGTGAAAACCGTCGAAACCGCTCGACTTTACGCCGTCGAGGCGCTCTCCTTTGTCCTATATTCCACTAGCTCGCGAAGCTTCAGACACTCGAAAGTTTCGTCGGTGCTTAGTCATACAGAGACGGGCAGAAGTTTGTACTCGTTACTAAGTAGAAGGAGGAGTGATGCAGCGGCCAGTGAACGATGAAAAGTTCGGGGGAGAAAGAGAGAGAGAGAAAGAGATACGAGACGATCGTGGGCAGCGCGACATTTTTCCCAGGCTACGTTTCTCTCTTATCTGGATTATTGTAAAAGTTGGGTCAACAACTCTCTGCCCCTACTTGGGATACGACCGATTCAACGCATCACCCGCGCGAGAAATCGCGCACCGTTTCGTCGCACGCTATTTAGTACGCCACCTTTTTTTTTTTTACGAAACACGGTCTGCTCACAGAGAGTGAACGTGTAACGTTAACGTAGTACCGGTCATGGCCGCGTGTTCAAAAATCACCACAGATAACACGCCAACACGGATTTGGACACGCGTTCCAGACACTAGCTGATAAAACGATCCGAACGACGTCGGGTAACCGCCACAACGCTCGTAGCTTGATCAATTACGCTTCTCGATGGGCGAAAGTGACGATTGAACGGCGAACGTCGATTTCGTTTTAAACGCGTTGCTTGGTCTATCGATTGGAGCGATCCTCGCGCGCACGCGATATCGATTGTTGACTAAGGTATCCATCTCGATTCCAGATGAATCGTTATAGGAATCCTTTTAGAGAGACATATGACTCCGTGTATGCATCCAACACTCTGTTTGAGAGCAATGTAGGCACATTTATGTGGCAGTTGATAACTGAAATTTTGAGCCAACTCGCGAGAGATATCATACGGTATTAGCAGATTATCATTTGGGAAAGAGATTTATTGGTATAATAAACGGAATGCACAAGTTTGACAACGTTGTCGATCTAGTTTCATTCAAGATTCTGTTCTTGTTCATAATCTTGTCATAATCTTTGTGATCGATCTGTACAGTCGAGTTGATAAGCGATTTTTTAATGGTCGTCTTAAATTGCATTTTATAATCTATTCGAGAATACCGATCTCTATACGGAGTTCCGTTTGTAGATAATGGACTTGGAAAATGAGATCGCTATTTTTGCTAGGGAATATGTAATCTATCGTGTGTATCTTATACTGACGTACTCCTCTACTCAATTTCCGTAGATTATTCTTATCTGATTACAGCGATGCATTCTTGAATGTATCTAATACATTCTATTTCGAAACGAACCACCCTTTCATCTTAGTTCGCCGATGCATCGCTAGAGGGCACGTACATTCGCCTACATTTTAAAACTCGTTGTTTCTGATCTAAAAAACGACGACTATCGCTGTAATTCATGGCATGACTTCTGTTCATTGTGTTGTGTGTCAACGGTTTTGGTTAACTTTTGAAAATAGAATTGTAAATCCGACGATTTCGTACAATTTCCGATGAATGTATCGTACATGTAATATACCCTGGACGATTCGCTTCTAAAAATTTGACCCACGATGCATTGATAAAGGGAATTCCACTCCTAAATTTACTGCACTTATGTGATAAACAAGTTGTCTTTGGTTTGACAGGACTAGTCTAAACAAAAGCATCGAGAACCGTTCAACAATGTCAGCCACTGAAACTACGGTTATTTTCGCAAAATTGGAGGCGTTAAAAGATATCAAGTATATCCACGAATTTTATTTTGTAAAGCCTTTTCTCAAATACGATGAAATTCTTTGAAAAATTTACGATTCGCAAAGTGTCTTTACATAACACCCAGTACAATAGATTATAACGACGATACAAGTTTTTTTTATAAAATAAAGTTCTTAAATTCTCTATGTATTTTGTTAGGTCTAAAACACTTCAACTAGAGAAAATGAAGCAGAGAATTTTACAAGAGGTAGAACAGACTGAACAGGAAGAAAAATGTTTGCTAGAATACAAACAGGAAATGGATCTCCTTATGCAAGAGAAAATGGCACATGTTGAAGAATTACGGCAAATACATGCTGATATTAATGCAGTATGATTAAGCACAGATCTAATATTATCTTCCTGATAAATTATACATGTAATCATTTATGAAACTGTTACAGATGGAAAATGTCATTAAACAAGCAGAAGAAGCTAGAAACAAAGCAAGGGAGACAGCAAAATTAATTCACAATAATGATTATCAACCCTTGAAGCATGACATTGATCGTATGCGTAGAGAATTTCTGGGATTGGAAAGGTTACCAGAATTATATGAAACAGAATCTGATCTCATCTCACCAGAGTATGTTTAAATGTAAAATAACTATGAATTGTCTTAAATTACCAGACAGATTGTTTGTTCACAGCTATTTTGACCGTCCAATGCAAAAAGCAGAATGGAGGGTAGAAGTAAGGGGAGAGGATTTATTACCCCCACTTACTTTACACCATCCTGGTCATCCAGGTAGTTCTACACCTTTCCTTGCTCCTCAACCTCTTCAAGGTCCAAGTAAGCCAGAACCAAGACCATTACCACCAGCCCCAGGGCCACCAGCTCCAACATTCAGGTACCACTGGTATATCGCAATTTTATATTATATTTATATACAATACACAAGTCACAAGTCACAAAATTAATCACATTTGATATTCTTGATATTATAACAATCTTATTATGAACAGTGACATTAAATACCATGACTTCTAAAAGGTGTGTACATACTAATACATTAACTTCTATATTGTATTTGTGTGCTTTTAGGCAACAACCACCACCCATGAAATCATGTTTATCATGTCATCAACAAATTCATAGGAATGCACCAATTTGTCCCCTTTGTAAAGCTAAATCGCGATCACGTAATCCCAAAAAGCCAAAGAAAAAAGACTAATTATAATTATAAGTGTTATTTATATAAAGCATCATGCATTTCTGTCTTCTATTTTTAAGGGTATGTATTAATGGTTTTTTATAAATTAAGATAGATCTACAAAATACTATATGGACGTACATTTATGCAAAGTGTATTAAAATAATTGAAAAAAATGTATGCATTTACAGTAATTATTTTTAACTTTCCATAAAATGTCACTCTTGACTTTTAAAAAAATTGTATCAAGAATCTGTAAGATAGATAAATAAAGCTAAACATGTTTTATTATTTTAATTAAATGGATAGTAAAAATGTGGTAATTTCCATTTTAGTAATTACAATACAAATAACAAAAATAT